GTTTTGAAAAGGATTCAAAGCATAATATAACCTTTTAAAAAAATGTGCATTTTTGTATTAAATAACTATAATTTAAGAAGTACAAATACTGCATTTGAGAAGTTTATTTTAAAATTCATTTTTTAAATGGCTCTGCATTTGCTTAATATACTGCATTTGTTAATGCTCTTCCAAAGTACAGCTTCTAGAAAGCAAAGATATCCTGCTAATAACAGCCATTTTGTCAAGAATGACAGCATGTCATTATTTTACTTACAAAACAAGATGATATAACACCAAGTTATAAGAATGAAGCACAAATTATATTTCACAAAAAAATATAACTTTTATTTCATTTGGGAACATAATTATAGTATATCATATCTTCTCAAATTTCACAGAAATGCCCTAAGTAATTAGGCTGTATAGACACCAAGAATTTGAAAGTGTTACTACTTTTTTTTTCCTGTTGCAGTTTTACATACAGAAAATTATTTACAATTTAATAGCACTGAAAACTTTTGTTTAATATACTTATTTAACATAGGTCATTTAGTGATTCAGGTTGTACTGGATGAAGTCTGGAAGCTACTTGTATGGGCCTAGTATTTTAGAATTTGATTGTCTTGTTTCCTAGATCATAATGATACCATCTTTTGGCTTTCTTTGCTGAACTTTCAGAAGACCTGTTCTATAAAATATTTTACTTCACTTATTTTAGCTTCCCTCCATAATTGCTAGGGTGGAATAACATTCTAATAGCGTTCACAACTGTGAAGTTTATGCTATTTCTGTTTTGTACATCAGGCTGCAAAGAAGCTCCACCCAGCAAGAGTTTTCTTTAGACTAAGGATAGGGTGCTTTGCCAGGAGTAAGGCAAGAACTGTGATTAATAGGCAAAAGGTTAAGGATGAAGGTGCCTTGGAGTAAGCAATATAATTTTCAAATTGATGAGAAGGAACCAAAACTCACAATGGGCAAAGGGATTGCAAAAAAAAAAAAATCCATCTGCTCTGAATTAGTTTAGGTCTCTTGATGTGGATGAGTTCTATTCCTTTGAATGGGATTGCAGAACCACTCTAGGTGATCTTTGAGGACACACAGAGAGTAAGAGGATAACATACAAATGCTGTTCAATGTATAAAACAACCATAAGCTACAACCAGTGAACTCAATTTCAATTTCAGGCAGGATTCCAAATATACTATCAAAGGGTGATTTGTGAGGATGTATTAGAGAACTAATAAAATTGGGCCAGTTTTATGTTCATTAAGAGAACCAGAAGGTAGACCTTGCTCTATTCCATTTTGTGCAGAGTTACTAGATCCAGGGACAGTAGTAGGCATTAAATATATGGACCTTTTGAAGGCATTTGACAAATTTTGTCAATATTCCTGAAGATAATAAGAATACATATAGGCTGCTTACAAGGATAATTGGGTAATTGAATAACAAGTTGAAGAGTTATACTCAAAATATGCTGAGTAATGGGTCAGCATCAACCATGGAGATAGATATGATGTAGACTTCTATCCTCAACTTGGTCATAGTCAACATTTTTTATCCATGAATTCTAGAGTTACTAGGTCCAGGAACTGGAGTAGCCACAGAATATATGGACTTTATGAAGGCATATGACAAATTTTGTCATAATATTCCTGAAGACAATATGAATAAATGTAGGCTGGTTGCAAAGATAATTGGGTAGTTAGCCCTAAAGGTTTCCTAAATGTCTGTGCCTTCAACACTTACAGGCCTATTTGGATCATTCCCAGCTTAGGGCTTAGTTCTTCTGGGTGTGATGTCCAATCCTCTTCCACCTGCCAGCCATGGGTAGGGTGGGTGAGCGGAGGGCGTTTAGTCACATTACCACATAGAACAGCCAGGACTGTGGAAGGTAGATCTGTAAGAAAGCTGGAAAGGAGTGGATTGGTATATTCAGGATAATAAGACGTGGTTTTGCACTTCAGTATTTTTAAATAAGGGCTTTATTTAACATAAAAGGCAGATATGGTATATAATCTATACTAGTAAAAGGGTAATATGCTAATTAGACCGGACTTCCTTCTGGACAAAGCCATGGTGGTGGGGCCAAGGCAGAGGCAGTTAGGGGTGATCAGGCCAGCAGGGGAGAGCAGTTAGGGGGATCAGGCTGGCAGTGGAGAGCAGTTAGGGGGATCAGGCTGGCAGGGGAGAGCACTTAGGGGAATCAGGCTGATGGGGGAGAGCAGTTAGGGTGATCAGGCTGGCAGGGGAGAGCAGTTAGGGGGATCAGGCTGATGGGGGAGAGCAGTTAGGGGGATCAGGTTGGCAGGGGAGACCAGTTAGGCGGATCAGGCTGGCAGGGGAGGGCAGTTAGGGGAATCAGACTGGCAGGGGAGAGCAGTTAGGGGGATCAGGCTGGCAGGCAGGCCTGATCCCACAGGAATCGGGCCTAAACCGGCAGTCGGACATCCCCCGAGGGGTCCCGTATCAGAGAGGGTGCAGGCCGGGCTGAGGGACACCTCCCCTCCCGTGCATGAATTTTGTGCACCGGGCCTCTAGTAGTAACATAATTGCTAAAAATATGAGATCACTATAATCTAGGGTTGCGTTAGAAGATATTAATGATACTACTAATGAGATATTGGAAAGAGGGAAGTTTGAGTACTCTCTTATTCTGCTTCAGTAAGACAAGCCACTCTGAAGTAGGCAGTTCTGGGTACCATACTTGAAACAGATGTAGAACCCAGGAGCAAGTTCAGAGAAAAATATCTAGAATGTGAAAGAAATTAAAAACCATGTCGTAATGGAAACAGCTGTAGGAATTGGAAGTTGACCTGGGAAAACAAGATATAGAATGTTCCTTATAGCTGTCTTCTAATATAAGAAAGAGGCCTGTGGTTGTTCCACATGGTTACTAGGAGGTTTAGGGCCAGTGGACACTCTAGGCAGGCAGATTTGGGGTCAGCATGAGAAAATTTCCTGACAGACAAACCATCAGAAGATGCAACAAGCTGCTTTACAATGTAGTTTTCCATCATCTGGGGTATTGAAAACTTACCTAGGTAGGAGTAGACTCAGTGAATGCATCCAGGGCTGGAACCAGTTATCTTTATGATTTTTTTCAAACCTGTTCTTTTCTAAATCTACACTTTTGATATCAGTGGCAGTTAGATGATTGATGAAGTCATTCATTGGTTTTCTACAGTATTATATTTTGGGGTGGCATTGATTAATAAGCTTATATAGGTTTCAAATGTACAATTCTATGATATATCATCTGTGTATTACACTGTGTGCCCACCACCCAAAGTCAAATAATCTTCTATCACCATATATTTTACCCCTTGAACCTTGACTAGTCCCCCAGCCCCCTTCCTTCTGGTAACCACCATACTGTTATCTGTGTCTATGAGTTTTTGTTTGTTTGTTTTTATTTGTTCATTTGTTGCTTTCAGTTTTATATCCCACACATGAGTGAAATTATATGGTTCTTAACTTTTTCTGAATTATGTCACTTAGCACGATATTCTCAAGTTCCATCCATGTTATTGCAAATGGTAACATTTCATCTTTTCTTAAGGCTGAATAGTATTCCATTGTGTATCGGAGGATACTTCAGTTGTTTCCATGTCTTGGCTACTAATGCTGCAATAAACATAGGGGCTCACCTATCTTTATGAATAAATGTTTTCAATTTTTGGGGGGTAGATAGCTATACTCTTAATTTTTTGAGGAGCCTCCATACTGTTTTCCATATCTGTCCCAATTTACATTCCCACCAGCAGTGAATGAGAGTTCTTTTTACTCCACAATCTCTCTAACACTTGTTATTTCTTGTTCTTGTTGATAATAACCATTCTAACATTTGACATTATTATTATTGAAGTTTAAATGTGCAAAACTTTACTGTATAAAAATTTATTATTAGTTTGTTTTAACCTAGTCTTGTGTAATAGCATTGATAAGCAGATAAGGTGGCCTCACTCTTGGTTACAGGAGTCATTTCTACAGTCTTGAGGGAGGTTAATTAGGAGTAAGTACTTTTCTTATAACCCAAGTGTTGTTTTCTTTTTAGTGCCCTGGAGCAAATATTTAATGAAGCTGTCTCTTTTCCTGTGTGAATAGCAAGACAAGTAAAGGCTCCTTGAAAAATATTTATGTACTTGAGACAGAAAAAAATAATTACCTCTCTTTTGACTTTACTAAAATTCTAGTTTTCACCTCCCCAATGTTGTCCAGAGATATGTGGACATTATATCTGAAGAGAGTAAGAGGATTTAGCTGACATCCACTTTGTAGATAAATATGATACAAATGGTTACAGACGTGGGTATTGGTTTTAAATAGACCTGAGTTTAATCCTCACGTCTCCACCTACCAGCTGGTTATAAACTTCAATAGTCTCCCTTTCCTTATCTATAAAATGAGCACAACCACAACTCCCTGAGGGGAAAGAACTAATTTAGGGAGAAAAGATTAGGTCCAAAGTATTTTTTCTTCTTTGTGGTTTTATGATAGAATGTAAAACTCTGCAAAAATCATAAAATGTTAACACTGAACAGGAACTGAGAGATCATTTGGTTCAATGGCCTAATTTTATAAATGAGGAAAGTAAGATCGGAAAAAGCCAAGAGGCATCTCCAGAATCATGGTGCAGTTGGCAGTGAAAGGCCAGTGCTTTCTTCCCACTCCATGGAAAACTCATCTTAAAACAAGAATTGTAACGATGTTTTCATCATTTTTGTTTTATTTTATGGAAAATATTTCAAGAGCAAGTCTTTCTTAGAGATACCATGGAAAAATAATTACTCTGAAGGATTCTTTTCTAATTCCAAGATTCTGTGTCAGAATCAATATCATGGCAATTTAAAAAATTTTATTCAAATATAAGCAATGTCATAATTATCACTCCATGTCATAGTACAGTATACATTTACTTCACTTGGCAAGCGTAGTTGCAATAACATCTTCTGTTGGACTTCATTTCTTCAGAATTTAAAAATACCATTTTAATAAATGTATATTCTATTTTCTAGATGCCCTCTGAAGAAAAAGTTTGTAAGTACTGTGGAGTAAGCTATCTCATTCTTCATGAGTTTAAAGCTATGGAAGAAAAAGTGAAAGCGATGGAAAAAGAGATGAAATTTTATCAAGGAAGTGTAGAACGTGAAAAGAAACTTCAAGAAAAGCTACATTCTCTTAGCCAAGATTTTGAACAATACAAAATTGACAGTGACTCCAAAACAGAAAGGTTGGAATATGTTATTCTTTTCTATTATTTATTTAGTTTGAAGAAAAGTACAGACAATAGATAGACTTTCAATGTTCTTCTAGAATTTCTCTGTATCAGGTATAATTTATACTTGAATACATGTTAGTTTTTTTATTAATTATTAGTAATTAATAAATGTAATTACTAAGTATAGTTTGAGCATTCTTTTAGACATGTATTTATTCTCAGAATGATTAGAAACCAATTAATTTAGTAGCCATAAGTTGAGATAAGTTAAGTTTTATTTTTCCCCAGATATATCTTAATTTTATCATTAGGAAGATTTGTCTGTCAAAAACTAGGTGAGTTTTGGCAGTTTCTGATGCCTAACCTTTGTTTTAAATGGCCTTGAATATTTAGATTTACAGGATAAGGTTTTTATGACTTGAAAAGAATGCCAGGACTTTCAAATTGGCATGTAATTCTAAGTCACGGAAATTGGAAAAAAAATTAAATAATAGGTTCCTAACACTATCAAATCTAATCCATTTAGTCTGCCTCAAGACACTTCAATGAACTTGTACAGACACTTCTAAGAGAACATTTTTTTGCTGGAGTTTTATGGCTTTACCTTTTCCCCATGAATGAATATTTCTCCATTTAAAATATCAACAGTTGGTGTTAGTAAACCTTGAATTAATGAATTTAATGAATATCATCATGTCTTTACAAAAATAGAAACTTTTTAAAATCTTTTAGGATTAAGTACTTCTATTACATTTTATTACAAATTTTAATAATTACATTAAATGTCAATTGAGTCCAATATTTTGTAGTTCTTTACCAAGAAAATTTTGTTATAGTTTTTTAAATTTCAAATCTGAATAAAAAGTGTTTCATACTATTTGAGTGGGGAAAAAAACTTGAAGTATTCAATTTAAAATTTGGTGGTTTTCTTGCCTGTCAGAGATTCTTTTGTTTGGGGTTTATTTACACTTTACTTTCTTTATGTGTTGTTTAAGTACATAAACACTTAAAGTAAAAGATGTATATGGGAGAAAAGGCAAGAAAGTCCCTTTTTATCCTGCTGATTGCTTTTTGCTGGAGATAAAACCACTTTTAATGATTTGGTGCATATTCTTCATTGTGCCTTTACCTATATTATAGATACATTTATTTAATGTATGTAATATATACTGAGTGGCCAGATTATTATGACCACCCCATCAGTACTTAGTTGGGCCATCTTTTGCCTTCAATATTGCTGTGATTCTTCTTGGCATTGACTCCACGAGATGTTGAAAGGTGATGCGAGGAATCTGACACCATGCCTGATGAATAGCACTGTCCAGTTCTGTGAGATTTGATGGCTGTGGAACCAGCTGCCTGATGGCTCTTTTAACTTCGTCCCACAAATGCTCAATTGGATTGAGATCTGGTGATTGTGGGGGCCACCTAAGCAAGGTAAAGTCTCCCTCATGTTCTTGAAACCACTCCTGCACAATATGAACACCATGGCATGGCGCATGGTCTTGTTGAAAGAAGCCATCTCCATTGGGATACGCCATCAACATGATAGGATGAACTTGATCGGCAAAGATACTTAGGTATGTTGTGCTATTCAGACATTTATAATGGTCTGGCCCTCTAGCAACTTCAGAGGGAAATTATAGCTAATTTGCCTACAAACATCAGGTGGTCATAATAATCTGGCCACTCAGTGTATATACGCCATGTAGTTTTTAAAATGGTTATCATTAATAAATTGACAAACAACAAATTTGGCAGTATGCAGAGAAAAGGGAACCCTCGTGCACTGTTTGTTGATGGGAATGCAAATTGGTGCAGCCTCTGAGGAAAGCAGTATGGAGTTACCTCAAAAATTAAAAATAGAACTGCCTTATGGTCCAGTGATTTCACTTCTAGGAATTTATCCGAAGAAATCTGAAACACTAATTTGAAAGAATGTGTGCACTTCTATGTTCATTGCAGTGCTATTTACAATAGCCAAGATTTGGAAGCAGCCCAAGTGCCCATCAGTAGGTGAGTGGGTAAAAAAGCTGTGGTACATTCACCTAATTGAATTCTACTCGACCAGAAAAATAAGGCAGTCTTACCCTTTGTGACAGCATGCCTGGATCTGGAGAGCCCTATGCTAAATGAAATAAGCCAGTCAGAGAAAGACAAGTACCATATGACTTCAGTCATATGTGGACTCTAATGACAAAATAAGCTAACAAGCAAAATAGATACAGACTCATAGACAGAGGGCAGGCTGACAGCTATTAGGGACGTGGGGACTGGGTGAGGAGGGTAGAGGGATCGAACAAAAAAGGAAAAAAAAATTGCCCTAGTCCAGTGGTCAGCAAACTCATTAGTCAACAGAGCCAAATATCAACAGTACAACGATTGAAATTTCTTTTGAGAGCCAAATTTTTTAAACTTAAACTATATAGGTAGGTACATTGTTATTAACTTAATTAGGGTACTCCTAAGGCTTAGAAAGAGCCACACTCAAGGGGCCAAAGAGCCGCATGTGGCTCGCGAGCCGCAGTTTGCCGACCACGGCCCTAGTCGGTTTGGCTCAGTGGATATAGCGTAGGCCTTTGGACTGAAAGGTCCTGGGTTCAATTCCTGTCAAAGGCACATACCTCAGTTGCAGGCTCCTCCCCGGCCCGAGCCCTGGCCAGGGCACGTGCAGGAGGCAACCAATCAATGTTTCTCTCACGTCGTTATTTCTCTCTGTCTTCCCCTCTCGCTTTGACCCTATCTAAAAATCAATGGGAAAATATCCTCAGGTGAGGATTAAAAAAATAAATAAATTCATTGACACAAACAACAGTATGGTGATTACCAGTGGGAAAGGGGGGTGGTGGAAAAAGGTATAGGGGGATAAACAGTGATGGAAGGAGACTTGCTTTGGGGTAGTGAACACACAGTACAGTGTACAGATGATGTGTTATGGAATTGTGCACCTGAAACCTATATAATTCTGTTAACCAGTGTGAACCAATAAATTCAGTAAAACACACACAAATGTGTATTGTTTAATCTCCAAGTATTTTGGGATTTCCCAGCGTTCTGTTTGATTTCTAGATTAATTCCATTGTGGCCTGAGTACAGACATTATATGTTTTTAATTTTTAAAAATTTGTTAAAATGTGTTTTATGGCCCAGAATGTGGCCTGCCTTGGTGAGTGGAAAGTTCAGTGTGAGTATGAGAAGAATGTATCTCCTGTTGCTGTTGGATGAAGTAGTCCATAGATGTCAATTAGATCAGTTGATTGCTGCTGCTGTTGTGTTCAAATATGTCCTTACTGATTTTCTGTCTAACGATTTTATCAGTTGCTAGGAGTACCGTATTGGAAGTCCTCGACTCTAACTGTGGGCTTGTCTATTTCTCTTTGAGTTCTTTAATTTTTGCTTCACAATTTTGTAGCTCTGTTGTTTGGTGTGAACACATTTAGGATTGTTATGCCTTCCTGGTGGATGGATCCTTTTTTAGTCATATAATGCACTTGGTTTTCTCTGGTATTTTTCTTTGTTCTGAAGTCTACTTTATCTGATAATAATATAGCCACTCCTGCATATTTAATAAACTGTTTACATTGTATTTTTTTCCATTTTTTTACTCTCAACTTACCTCTGTCATTGAATTTGAAGTGAGTCTTGTAGATAGCATATTGTTGAATCATGGGTTTTTAAATCCACTTTGCCAGTCTTTTTTAATTGGTGTATTTAGACCATTCACATTTAAAGTAATTATTGTTATTTTAACATATATTTTTATTGATTTCAGAGAGTAACGGAGAGGGAGAGATAGAAACATCAATGATGAGATAGAATCATTGATCAGCTGCTTCCTGCATGCCCTTACTTGAGATCGAGCCCGCAACCTGGGCATGTACCCTTGACCAGAATCAAACCCGGGACCCTTGGGTCTGCAGGCCATTGCTCTATCCACTGAGCCAAACTGGCTAGGGCTAGGTAATTATTGATATGCTTAGATTTAAGTATGCCATTTATTATTTGTGTGTAGTTTGTTCTCTCTGGTTCTCTTCTTCTGTTTATCTTTTCTTACCTTTATTTTGGTTTCTTGAACATTTTTAAGGTTAGAGCTTGATTTATTTATAGTGATTTTTAGTATATTGCTTTGTATAGGTTTCTTAGTTGTTTCAATACAGGTGCATAACATCATAGTCTGTGGTTTAATTATGATGTGTCTTGGCATGGATTTCTTTGGGTTTATCTTTTTGGATAGAATGGGGTCTTTCCCAAAGATTGTTGAAACTATGTTTATAACTCTTGTCATATTTAGGGAGTTTTCAGCTATTAATTCTTAAAATATTATTTAGAGCCACTTCCTCTCTCTTTTTCTCAGATTCCTAACTTATGAATATTTGCTCTTTTGTTATTATCCCACAGGTCCATGAAACTCTGTTAATTATTATTTTTCTGTCTATTTTCTCTCTGTTGTTCAGACTGAGTGCATTCTGCTGATCTATCCTAAAGGTTGGTGATTCTCTCCTCTGTCATTATACTCTGCCATTGACCCATCCAGTGAGGTTTTTTTCCCTCAGTTACTGTGTTTTTCAGTTATATAATTTCTTCTTTTTTTAAAAAAAATGTAACTTCTTTTTTTTGTTGAGGTTTTCTTTCAAGAAAAATTTAATTACTTTTAAAAATAACTTTTGTGATGGCTGCCTTATAATCTTTGTTTGATAATTCCAACATCTGATTCATCTCAGTGTAGGGTCTGTTGATTGTCTTCTCTCATTAGTGTTATGATTTTCTTGGTTCTGGCATGATGATTGATTTTCCATTGAATCCTGTTTATTTTGGAGGTTATCCTATGAGACTTTGGATCCTATTGAATACATACATGTTTAGCAGGTACTCCCTCTGTTGAGGTATAGCATGATAGCTAGGTGGGTATGTTTTTTTCAGCTTCCTACTGTCCTGCCAACACTGCCTTGTATCAAACTGGTGGAGTGAAGGTCACCTATTCCCCTTGGCCCCATTCACATCCTTCCAGCCAA